TTCCTGTTCCTCTGATGCTGCCTGGCCTGCTGTGTTCCTCCAGCTCCTCACTGTGTTACTTCATGACCACAGTAGGGTGTCTGCTGGTTCAGAGATTGAATGACATCTCCAAGTGCTTTTTAATTCTTTGAGGTTGGGCTATGAAGTTCTGTTTTTATTTTCCTATCAGATTAAATGTAGTGAATACATTTTTTATCAATAGGAGGGTCTTTTTAAACAGTGATTTCATTAATAAACTCTTAAATACTTTCTATAGTTCCAGCATAAATCCTGAGGTCTGTCCACTGTGAGTACTGAATGATTTGGCATTGTTGGTGCAAGAGCAAAGAGTAGTTGGCACGAGATGACACTACGTTGGTATAAGAGCTATAAAAAGACTATAGTATGGGCAGAGCATGATAGACTGCCACAGAGAAAATAAAGAGAGAAGGATAGTGAGTGAGGGGCACAAGGTGTTGGCATAGATGGAGCAGAGATGGTTAGCAATGAGGCTCTTTTCTCTTTATTCGTTTTAAATTTTCTGCAAAATGGTAGATCACTCAAGCTATTCTTGTGCCCTGGTGGGTCCACACCTGGCAACCTCCAAACTCCCTCAGGGGTGGGGGCGCTGTCTGCAGTAACTCCCATTTTTATATCTCTGCTCAACCTCTTGTCAAGGATGAAAATTGGAACACCCATAACACTTTTTTTTTGCAGTCCGGCTTACAGATCCAGGATTTTTCCCAACTCTACACTCCTGATCTGGGAGGGAAAGTTCAGGTCCAGGATTCCACCAAAACAGAAAGTTCTGAATATAACATATAGATATAAACACGAAACGAGTTTAAGAAATTCATGGGTTACTCGCACTGCACAACTACTGTTCCGAGTTGGAACCTTCAAAGCAACCTTGGTGTAGAGGTGAATCATTAGAAAGCGAAGGTCTGAATTTAATCTTTCCATACCTGTGTCTTATGGGTGTTAACCAGCGAAGGAGCTGCCGCTACCATGGAACTACTGCGTGGTCTAGGTAAGTGAGTTATTTCAGGCTCAGAAGGTCTATCTGGCTTCTCCTCTAGAATCTGTCGAAGTCTTTGTAAGTAATACATCAGTGACCAGTGGATACCTTCTTCTGACCAATGGGGCTGCAGCAGACAGCGCAATACAGCAACATCGAAATAGGTGGCATATCGAGATTTCTGACTCGGTGGTATGGTTATTGAAGTTCTGTAACAGAGATCAATCACTTTTTCAAATGAAAACAGTAAGCTGTTCAGAATGATATGCAAAATAATTGTCACATTAATGCATGAATCTGTTGAATTTTTACCCAAGTACAAGGACTTGAACAATTATTTCATAATTCCAGCCGGCCTTTCGCCCTTAATTTTCCATATTGTGCACGAGAAGGGGTCAGACACTTGTGGTTTTCAAGCCCCCCTCCAGGACTTGAGTACAATATCTAGGCTGACACTCAAGTGTAGAATTGAGAAAGTGCTGCACTTTGGGAGATGCCATCTTTTAGATAAGGCATCAAGCCAAGGCCCTTGACTGCACACGTCAGTCAATGGAAGTGATCCCATGGCATAATGTACTTTGAAAAAGAGCAGGCAAATTATTCCTGGTGATCCAACTGATAATTTTCCCACAGTCAACATCACAAGGAGAGACCACCTTGTCATAAAGACACTGCAGCTTGAGGGAGGAAGCTTGGTGCATTTTGGCTGGTGAGGTTAATACTTTACAACAATGGCAACATTTCAAAAAAACACTTCATTATCCAAAGCATTGAAATGAAATATGCTGTACAGTGGCCAATTAATGTAATCTTAAATGCTTTGTACCATCCACGCTGATATTTACCTACATCAAACGGAGGCTCATGCCAATTGAGTAGACCAGTAGCAGTAGCTACATGGTTAGTATTGCGCATGGTGGGGTACCTTCTATGGGTCCCCATTGCCATTTTCCCCTGCCCATTGTCATATTCCCCTATGGTTCTTCTGATCCTGATCTCTCAAATCAAGTCCCTTAACCCTGCAACAGCCTCTCACCTACCTTCAGACAAACTGAGTGGCAGATCTCAAAGATGGAATTTCCACCTCCAAATAGGGTCAGAGTCTGCCTTTAGCCAATTAACACCCCATCAAAAGCCAGATGGCTGTGAGACAACCAGTATTGGTAGGTTCATGTTCCCCGCCAACACTTCATGTTAATCATTCAAGGGACGTGGGCTTCAGGGGATGTGCTAGCATTTACTGCACATCCTTAATTCACCTTGAAAAGAGATGGTGAGCTGCCTTCTTAAACCATTGTAGTCCATTTTAACATAAGTACACTCACAATGCTGTTAAGGTGGGGACGGGGGAGGGGTGGGGAAACCAGAATGACGTAATTCCAAGTCAGGATGTTGACAGGTTGGACAGGAAATTGCAGGTTACAGTGCTCCTATGGACCTTCTGCCATTATCCTTCTAGATGGCAGTGATCACAAATTTGGAAGGTGCTCCCTATGGAAATATGGTGAATTTCTGCAGTGCATCTTGTAGATGGCACACACTGCTGCTACTGTGCCTGAGTGCAGACGGGAGTTAATGCTGCCAATCAAATGGGCTGCTTTGTCCTGGATAGGCTCAAGCTTCTTGAGTGTTGTGTGGGGTACGTTCATTCAAGGAAGTGGGAAGTAGTTTATCAAGTGGCAACAGTCAGATTTTCTCTTGTTGGAAATGGTCATTGCCTGCCACTTATCTGGTGCAAATGTTACTTGCCACTTGCCTGCCCAAGCCTGGATATTGTCCAGATCTTGCTGCATTTGGACACATATTACCTTAGAAACTACGCATAGTGCTGAACACTGTGCAATTTTCAGTGACCACCCCCACGTCTGACTTAATCCTGGAGGAAAGATTATTGATTGAACAGTGGAACATGCTTGGGCCCAGGATATAACCTGTGGAAGTGCTGCAGCTCTGGAATTCAGCTCTTTTGTCCCTGTATAAACTAAGGCTATAGAGGTCAAGAGCAGAGATGCCCTGGCAGAAACTAAACTGACCATCTGTAAGCAGATTACAGCAAAACAAATGCTGCTTGATTGGGCTGTTAATGATCCCTTTCAATATTTCACTTATGTTTGAATGCAGATCTGTGGGGCAACATTTGGTTGAATTTGTCCGGTTTTGTGTGTAGAGAACATACCTGAGCAATTTTGCCAGGTAGATGCTCATGTTGAACCTGTCCTGGAAGTGCTTGGCTAGGGGAACAGCAGGTTCTTAAACGCAATTCTTCCATACTATTGCCATAATATTGTCAGAGTCTATATCCTTTGCGGTATCCAATGCATTAAGCGGTTTCTTAGTATAACAAGAGAGAACTGAATGGGCTGAAGACTGCCATCAGTGATGCTGGCGAATTCTAGAGGGGGCCAAGATGGATTAACCATTCAGCACTTCTGGCTGAAGGTTGTCGTGATTGATTCAGCCTGATTTTTTTTGCACTGATGTACTGAGCTGCCCCATCATTGAGGATGAGCATATCTATGGAGCATCCTTCTTCTGCATTAGTCATGTGTTGTAGCTTCACCAGGTCGACACCAGGTTTAATTATGCCTGGTGTTGCTCCTGACATGTCCTATTGCATTCTGCATTGAACCAGGGTTGATGGTAATGGTTGAATGGTGAAGATGCTGGGTCATGAGTTTGCAGATTGTGCTGGAATACAATTCTACCGCTGTTGAGGGCCACAGCACCTCATGGATACCCAGTCTTGAGTCGCTAGATCTGTTCCAAGTCATTCAGTTATGAGCTAATTGACCATTTAGCATGGTGATAGTGCCACACAACATGATGGAGCGTATTCTCAATGTGAAGTTGGGACTTTGTCTCTACAAGGACTGTGTGGTGGTCACTCTTACAGATATTGTCATGGGCAGACGTATGTGTAGCAGATAGGTCGAGTAGGATGAGATCAAGTATGTTTTTCTCTCCTGTTGATACTTCTACCACATGCTGCAGACTCAGACTAGCATCTATGTCTAAACCAACTCAGTCAGTAGTCGAGCTACTCTTGTTGACAGACATTGATGTCTGCCACCCAGAGTATGTGTGTGTTCTTGCCATCATCAGCGCTTCCTCCAAGTGGTGTTCAACATCAAGGTGTACTGATGCATCAGCTGAGGCAGTGTGGTTTGTGTTATTCAGCAGAAGGTTTCTTTGCTCACGTTTGACCTGAGCCATGAGTCATTATTGAGGACTCCCAGCGCAACTTCCTCTCAATTGTAACGCACTGTGCCATCACCTCTGTTGAGTCTGTCCTACCAGTGGGACAGGACATGACCAGGTCCGGTGATAGTGGGATCTGAGACATTGTAATTGGTAATTCCATGAATATGACTATGTCAGGCTGCTACTTGGCCAATCCATGAGACTAGTCCCCAGGTGTTTGCTAAGTTTAACACATTAGAATATTGGCAACATTTCAAAAAGCATTCCATGACCATAAGGCATGGAATGAAATTCTATATAATGTTAACCCATAAGTTTGCTCTTCATTCCAATATTCAAGTCATTTATACATATATGAGAAAAAGGTTCTGTTCCCAGCACAGATCTTTTGGGAAGGTGCTGTCTATGGAGCCATGGTGAATATTTGCAGTGCATCTTGTAGGTGGCACACATTGCTGTGACAATGCCTGAGAGGAGGAGGGAGTGAATGTTGCCAGTCAAGTGGGCTGCTTTGTTCTAGATAGGGTCAAGCTGCTTGAGTGTTTGAGGTACACTCATCCAAGGAAGTGGGACGTAGCGTATCAAGTGGTGACGGTAAGATTCTCTCTTGTTAGAAATGGTCAATGGCCAGCATTTATCCAGTACAAATGTTACTTGCCACTTGTCTGCCCAAGCCTGAAAAAATACCACATCTCACTGTTTTCTACCCTTGTGCCATTTTGTTTTTACTCTGTGCTACTACAGACCCTGCTATTCATTGAGAATCAATTTTGTTCACCAACATTTTATGTGGTACTTTGTCACTAGTATTTTTAAAATCCATATGGGCAATATTCATTGCATATAATTGATTGATCTTCCTGGTACTCTATCAAAAAATGAATTAGCTCCATCAAACAGGAACTGTCCTTCCACAAATCCAGGCTGCCTTTCCTTTATTAACTTAAATCTCTTTAATGGCCTGACTATTTGTCCCCCGACTGTCATTTCTAAAACCTACCTGCCAGTGATGTTAAACTGACTAACAACTGACCATTTGGAATTGTAAATACTGTGTCTTTCCCTGTTTTGTATTTTTAATTAAGTGAAATGGGAAAAGAACTGTTTAAAAACCAAGGGTACTGGAGGTATACCACATATTTTGACCAAATAAATGGACACTCAGTGTAAACATTGTTTACATAGGTGCTGGTTCCAGCAGTAGTTGAAGTGTAGTTTGCAGATGAGTTGGAGTCAAAAGGTTGTGTACAAATGGAGCTTTGTTTAGCAACAAAAAGCTGATTGGTCTATGCACTAATGACTAGCTATCAAAGGCCTTCTGCTGGTCAGCTACTATACAATTGGGTCTCAGGTAGCCAAATAGATTGGGACCTTAAACAATACAGTGAGAAGCCTTCAGATCTACATTAGTACTCGAGTTCTCTCTGTTCTTTGCAGTAAAAGTCAATTTAAGGCAGAATAAAACCAGTTTATATTTTCTTCAATTTATATTTCTTACTGTAAGCTGTGACTTTTAGCTAATAAGTCCGAGGCCTTTCTACAAGCAGCCCCCTGTGCCCCCTACAAACCAGTGAAAGGCTCTGGGTATGGCACAGTGGCTCAGTGGTTAGCACTGCTGCCTCACAGCACCAGGGACCCGGTTCGATTCTAACCTTAGGGAACTGTCTGTGCGCAGTTTGCACATTCTGTACATTGCTGTATTTGCCTGGGTTTCCTCCGGTTGTTCCGGCTTCCTCTCTCAGTCTAAAGATGTGCAAGTGAGGTGGATTGGCCATGTTAAATTGCCCATAGTGTGCAGGCTAGGTAGATAAACAATGGGGAATGCAGTGATAGGTTGAGGGGGTGGGTCTAGGTGGGATGCTCATCGGACGGCCGGTGTGGATTTGATGGGCTGAATGGCCCGTTTCCACACGATATTAATTCTCTAGCTCTATTCCATAGAATACCAAACAGTTTTCTGACCAGCATAAGAATCATCTCAGAAATCCTGTGAGCAGAAATCACAGAA